TTAAAGGGTAATTATTCAGTAATCCTGGAATATAGATATGTGGCATTCCATAGTATTGTGATTGGTGAAAAAGATGGATATGTAGGGTATTGTGTTGAGTGATTAAGGAATATAATGGAGCAAAATAAATTATGATTGATTAGGATTATGGACATGTGGTATTCCGAGAATAGTATACAATTTCTCATTTTTAAATTGTTCAAATTTACTCTCAAAATGGTTTCATATGGAAAAATGTTTTAATGCTTTGATTTCCACAATATTTGTACCATCTATGATATGAGAAAGTTGAAAGAGCAATCAATGATTTTTTTTTTTCTTTTTTGGAACAATTAATGTTTCCTAAAGAAAGTAATTGGGATTGAAGAGGCCTTTCAACTAATCTCTTAATTAAATTTGAGAGTTTTTTTTGGCCTTATTTATTGAACAAATAATAAATACATATATATATATATATATATATTATATAAATTTGGGGCCTATATTAGCTAGCGCCTAAGGCAGCTTTAGTGGCCTTAGACTTGGGTTGGCCCTGTATTGATGGAGGTAGTGATGGTGGAGGAGGGTTGTGGTAATGGTAGTTGAGAGGTGGTAATGATGAAATAATGGTGATCACATGTGACAATGGTGGCAATAGTGGGGGTGGTGTTAGAAGAGGCAGTGACCATGGTGGTAGTGGACATAATGGTCGATGGCAGTGATGACGGTAGTGGTAACGATAACGGTAATGAAGTCATAACGATGCACATCGAAACATATGCATAAGTAGTTATAAATTCAATTAATATTATGTAAGTTTATTTTTATTTATTAATTTATTTTAATTTATATTTTAAAGGGGCTGGCTTCTCTCTAGTCCGTGATCAAATTAGAGGGTACTATTGAGCCCGTGAGACCCATCACAAGTCTCGTTTTGATAAATTAAACCGTTGTAGAACTCGTCGAGTACTATATGCCTGTAAAACATCACGTTGATCGGATATTGATAGCTACGTGATCAAATCAGTTTGTATAAAAAAATGGACAGTGAAAAAATAAATGATTGATAAAAATCTGATCTGATGAGATAATTATTGAAATCCGATTAACGTGGTAGTGCTGGACGAGTTCTACATATTGAACGGTTTGGATTATCAAAACGAGATCTGTGACGAACTCTCATAAGTCCAACAGTACTCTCAAGTCCGTAGCCCAATCCTATTTTAAAAATTACTTAAATTTTTAAATATAAATCAAGCACCACCTTCGCATATTAGTTCAAACATACTTGAATATTCTCTTTTGAAATGAACTTTTTAATCACCCTAGGTTGGCCCTCAGCTCATCATTCTTCCGCAGACTATGGAAAATTGTATACTTTAGCACATTGCATTTTCACTATAATTTTATTTTTGATTCTTTTATTTGTAATTATAACAATTAATTTTTCATATTTTAATGTAAATTACAATATTACCCTTTCATCCATCTACTGGTAATAAGGTCTTGTTTAAAAATTAACTATTTTAGTTTATTTTTGAATTAATTGACTAAAAGTTCTATTTGCCAATATTATGGTAGTTCGGATTCTATTTAAGATTTTTTAAATCAATAAGTCATATTTAATAAAATTGAGAATATTATTAATTTTTTTTCTAATTTTTCAAATTAAGAACATTATCAATTTTGCACATTCATGTTCGAAATAATTGTTTCACTAGCTGATAAAAAAATACACATGAGATTAAATAGGTGTTTGGGAAGTTGTTATTTTAGTAGGCCATTTTAGTTTTTGCCTATTTTAGTAGGCTAAAATTTTTGTATTTGGGAAGATAATTAGTTTTTTTTTATAGTTGGATGTGATATTTGTGAGAGAAAAAAGTGAAATGATTATGGGTTTGATGTGACATTTTGTCTTATTAACTATTTTAACCAATTTTGTTATTTTGTGGATTTTAGCCTAAAAATCCAAAAAAGAGCCTTTGCCAAACACCCTCTAAATGTTTTTGTCATTCTATTTATTCGTTTGATTCAACTATCCAATAAAATCGAAAATATTTAAAACTGAGAACATTATTAGTGTTTTTATTTTTTAATTTTTTTCAATTTTACACATCAATATTCCATCTTCATGCTCTTTTATTGACACTAAATTTTTAATTTTGCACAAAAAAATAATCCAGTTTTTAAATTTTTTTTTAAAAAAATTCACTCAATTTGGTTTCAGTTTTCAGAATTTACTTTTCAGAAAATTTTACCTTTTCGTTTTTCATATTTTGTATTTCATATTTTTTTTTTGTTTTTACTGAATGTTTTAAATATTTGAAGTAATTTTTTAATTTTTAAACACACCTAATATAAATACACTTAAAAAGTATAATATTTGTGAAAAAAAATCTTTAACAAATTCACTATATACCAGAAATAAAATAAAAAAAATAAAAATTCAATACATGTTTCATATTTTTGTGTATTTATTAATTTTTAAAATATTTTTTCACAAATATTTTTTACTATTTAGATATATCTAAGTAATGTGTATCTAAAAATAAAATAAAATAAAAAATTGCTTAAAATTTTAAAAATATTCAATAAAAACAAAAAAAAAATAAAAAACAAAAAACTCAATTTTCAGAAAATTAAATTCAAAAAACTGAAATCAAACACACTGATTAGTTTTTTTTTTTTGCACATAATTTTTTTTTTTTTAGTTTTTTCAATTTGAAAGTTGATGTTTTAAACTTTTGACAATCAAAATAAATGTTAAATTATCATGTTCCTTTATAAATAATCATAAATGATGAACAATCATTGTTTGAAGGGTAATTCCGACCATTAAAAATTTAATGGAACTTGAAGGATCCAAAAAATTTTAGTTAGAACTTAATGAAATATAAGTTCATAAATTAATATTTGTGTGTAAATGTCCTTTTATTTTTTAATATTTTACAAAAAGATATATAAAAAAATAAAAAAAAGTAATATGATAAGTTATAATAATTTTTTTGATTTTTTAATTAAAAACCACACTCCACAAATGGGCCTAAGACTAACACTTGATAGCTCTATGGATAAGCCCACCTTTAGACTGGATTTTCCAGTCTAGCTTCATGAATCAATCGGAGGGCCTCCTTTAATAATTTAGTCCATTCATCTTTTTAAGTTTTTGTATGTAAATTATTTGTGAAAAAAAAAAAATAATTTAAAAAATTACGATATTTTCTTAAAATTATATTTTTCATTCATTAAAATATATATATAATTATAATTATTAAATTAATCTAATTTATTTTATATATAAGCTCTACACAAAATATGAAAGGGAAAAAAAACTTATAGACTGAAAGGTCCCATTACAATGTTAATAACATCAGAGTCATGTTACAAACATTGGATTTCAAACATCTAATGTTCATCAAATTTCAATAATGTTTGAAAATATAGGATGAAAAATATCTAATGTTCATCAGATTTCAATAAATTTTGAAATTATAGAATGAAACATCAGATCGTTTACATCATTCACATCATGTTGATGTAAAAATGAGACTAAATGGAGTATAAAAAAACTTTTAGGATTAAATGGTTCAACGTTTCAAAAACTAGGACTTATGGGTAAATTTTCCAAAAAAGAAAAATGTTTTGAATCATTAAAGTGAGTTCTATAGTGAGCTCACAATATTAAAGTCGTATTAAGTTATTATCTAAATGAGAGAGAATCCAGATTCTTCTACTAACTTAGGTTATATTATAGGTCCCATTTCGTAGAGTTACAGAAAAGTGATTATAGATTATAACTTAACAGATTATAGTTTATAACTGTGAACATAAGTTAGTAACTTATTTGGTGCAACTATGGAATTATGAATTTAAACAGCAGTATAGTGTTTGGTAAATAAGCTGTAAAATAATTTTTTGCTGTGTAATTGTTATTTTTGCCCTTATGAACATAAAAATTGTAATTTTGTCATTAATTTAAAGAAAAAAAAATTCATTTATAGAAGTTAATAATGTTATTTCATTAATAGTATAAAAATTATGGATTCATTAATAGTATAAAAATTATTTCATTAATACCATAAACAAATTAATAATATAAAAATTGCTAAGTTTTTTTAAGTTTTTAATTCATTACAATAATTTAATTTATTAATTCATACCAAACCCTAGCCACCGCCGGTAGTCCTCTACAAAATCGGAGAGAACACAAAGAGAACTAGGGTGATTGCGAAAAGAGAGAGGGTTTCAGATCGCGATGTTTCAGATCGCAAATAAAGAGGATTTCAGATCGTGATGGTTTCAGATCGCGAAGAGAGAGAAAAGGGTTTTAGATCGCAATGGTTTTAGATCACGAAAAGAAAAGGTTGATCGCGAAGAGAGAGAGAGGGTTTCAGATTGCTAGGATTTCAGATCGCATCGTGATGGTTCACAATGCTAGAGAGAGCTCTAGTTCACAACGCCGGAGGGAGGGAGGGAGAGAGAGAGAGAGCTCTGGTTCCCAATGTTGGAAATTGCTAATTGTCACGTCGGGAATTGCCTTTTTCACACCAAAAATCACCACTCTCTCTCTCTCTCAAAGTGAATAGTGACCTTTTGTTGTTTATATAGTGGCAATTTGGTAATACTTCAAATTGGTGAAGGGCATTTAAGTAATTTTGGCTCTCAAATGGCAGTTGTGCACTTAAGCTAAAAGAAAAAGCTTTTATTCTCCCACTTAAAGAAAAAATTGATTTTTGGCTTACCAAGAGGTATAATCTGTATTATTAAGCTGAACCAAATATACAAAAATAACTTAAATTAAGTTAAAAGTTAAAATAAATTGCAAATAAGTCTTACCAAACAAAGCCAAGATTGTAATTGAGACAAACAAACATAATTGAATTCTACCATGTTTAATTTTGTGCTTTGGATTATTGAGTGATTAATAACTTAAAAATTAAAAATTAAAAAGAAACTACAAGCATTTTTTTTTAGTAATTAGTTTTTATTTATTTATTTATATACAAAAATTATACCAAATATTTTGACACAATTTTAAAATAAAATCTATGATATGTGTGAGAAATGAATATCCCAGGATAATTTCTAGGGCTTTGCATTTCGCTTCTCTCTCTCTCTCTCTCTCCGGTAAGCTCACTCCCTATCTGATACTCTCTGTACGAGTAGGGTCTTCTCTCTCTCTCTCTCTCTCTCTCTCTCTCTCTATATATATATATATATATGTTTGTACAGATTGTAAATTTTGATCTGTATGAGGTATGAGTTTTGAAATTGGGGTTTAATTATCAGTGATTTTTCCTTTTTTTCAACCCCAATGAAGCGCTAGAATTGGTATATTGCAAAGTTGTATGGAAATGCTAGGTTTTGTATATGGTTGTTGATTGATTGGTAAAAGAATCACCTTTTGGGCTCTGTCAGCTTGATTCACTTCACATACAGTTACAGAAACCTCGAAAATATAATTTCGTGTTTGCATTGTTAGATTGAAGTTGTGTAATTTCAAATTTTTGAAAACCCTGACAGTGTTTTTGACAATGTGTACGTCAAGGGTTTGGAATTGGAATTGAAACCCATTTTTAGTTTAAAATTTTAACTAGATAGCCTCCAATTCTAAATCAAAGACTTGAATTCCATGATGCCAAAGGTAGCACAAGCATCATGTTCGTTTACTCTATACTACGGAATTTCCCCCAAAAAAATTCGTGTTGTGTGTGTACATTTGTCTGGCTGGTTTTTTTAAAAATACTTGGAATATGAAAATAGAATTCTGGGAATCTTACATATGCGATTTTGATTCTACCCTATTATAAGAAGTTCAGAAATATATATACATTAATGTTTTTGCCCCATTAAACTGAGGAGCAAGAAAATTGCGAAAGTTGATCTGTCTTACATAGAAGCTGATATAAATGTTTGTTGAAAATTGAAATTACCAGAACCTTAAATTTGAATTATTGATGATGAGGTTAATTTACAGATCTCATCCTAGCAATGACTGTAGGAGAATCAAAATGGGTGGTGATTTACTGTGAAGATACACAAGAATCATGATCACTATTGTATCTTGTATAATATCTTGGATTGGGAAGTGAGAATGTGATCTGACCACACAAGAAAAATGTGCCTTTTGAAACATTGCACCGACTTCACTTTTGCATGTTATGATAGAATAGGAAGCCAAATATTTAGTTTCCATGCACATGAATCTAACTTAGAAAACTGAATCCAAATATGTGGTTTCCAAATCATAGTTAAAGTTTTCATGTTTTTGTTGTAGATGGTATGAAAATGAATTTATTCACAATCCAAGAGATTGTGTGAACGAAACACTATTTTTTTGGTACAAAATAATGGACTGTTCACTCAAAGAGTGTATTGATCCCACCTAAAATTGTGGATCCCACTGTTTTGGACCAACAAAAAAGATAGAGATAGAAACGAAATTATTAATTATTCTACCAACTACTCATATGTTTCACATGTGAGTGGTTGGTAAAATAGTTGGTAGTTTAGTTTGTAATTGTAGCAATAGCAAAGCTCTTGGACCAATCTCAAAGTGTGTTTTGTTCACACACTTTCAAAATGTGTAAAAAAATTCAGACTTGGGATCATATTGTATATATAATTGCTTTGAAGGGTCAGTCTCTCGTCTCGATCCATGGTAGTTTTAGTTTTCATGCTTTGGTTTAGGGTTTTTTTTTTTAGTTAAGTATGTTATGGTGTTGGTGTCTTATATATATAAAACTTGCAAAGGTCTCTTGTATTAATTCATTCATTATTAACAAATCTTGTCTTTTCAATTTTCTATAGTGGTTTTTTTTTTTTGCTGAACAACAGATTGTTGCCTTCAACTGTTATGGGAATTAGTATGATTTGAACTCCCAGATCCCAATCTCAAATTGTTTAGATAGTATATCTTGTTTCTGACATCAATTTGTTATTGGAAGCAGAGAATCACATTTAGTGGATATGGCTGAGGCTGCACCTGCTGTTCCCAGTAATGAGTTGTTGGAATGGCCAAAGAAAGACAAGCGTCGGTTCTTACATGTTGTGTATCGTGTCGGTGACCTTGATCGCACCATCAAGTATACCTATAGTAATTTTAGCTTTATCAATTCAAATTTATATGTATATATAGGGTCATACTAACAACAGTCCTGGGCTGTCATTAAGGTGGAGATAATGCCAAAATAGTCTGAATTTCAATGCACTTTTCACATATTTCTAAACACTTTAGTATATTGCTATACACTTTTCCGACATTTCTATAAACCTTTTACATGTACATCGAGGTTGATGACACATTTTTATATAAATATGTAAACTTTGTCCTTGATTTTATTTTTGAATCAATTTTGGATTCTGTGAAATTTCTCATTTTCAATTTGATGTGTTCTCAGGTTTTACACAGAATGTTTTGGAATGAAAGTTTTGAGGAAGAGAGACATTCCGGAGGAGAAATACTCAAATGCCTTTCTTGGATTTGGGCCAGAAGAATCTAATTTTGTGGTGGAATTAACATACAGTATGCCAAGACTATCAAACATTTTGAACACAATTAATTTATAATTTTATGTTCTTGCAATGGAGTTATAACAGATGTTTGAACATATATGAAAATATTACTTACTATTAATCATTGCTTATTTTGTTTTGTTCATAGTCTGTGTTGGTAAATTAGACCAGTTGATGGGTTTCTTCAAGCAATTATTAATTGAGAATCGTTTTAATTGTCCCAAATGCAGTACTACTGCTTACCTTTGTCATTGTGTGCCTACTTTTTGCTAGGAGTAGTCAGCGTTGGTAAATTGGACCAGTTGACAAGCTTCTTGGAGTGATTGTCATTGCTAAATCACTTTACCCATCCAAAACACAATACTGCTGCTTATCTTTATCAATGTCTTCCGAGAGATTCATATGTGAGATAATTTTTTATTCGAGCAACAAACGAAGTTAGTTACAAAATACTTCTAGTAAGTCAAGTGGCACCTCCTCCAGCCAAGGAGTAGTTTGCCACAAAATGTTTGTCGTACATAATGAAAGTCAAGTGGTGCCTTTTCTAGCCAAGGAGACAGCGTTTCCATAGCAAAACACCTTTTTCATATTTTTGGGTTGCAAACTTTATTTTATTGTTCTTTTTCTCTTCTTTGTCTCTTTTACTTTATTTATTTATTTTTTCCTCTACTGATTTTTATAAACTTACTCCGAAACTGATTGTCAGATTATGGAGTGGATAAATATGACATTGGAACAGGCTTTGGGCATTTTGCTATTGCGACCCCAGATGTAAGTAACCATAAGACTGTTAAATATTTCGGCACATTATTTGAATGTGGTGATATGGTTTCCTCATCTCATGTTCAGGTTTACAAATTGGTTGAAGACATAAAGGCCAAGGGTGGGATTATCACACGGGAGCCTGGTCCAGTTAAGGGTGGAAAGACTGTCATTGCCTTTGCAAAAGATCCTGATGGCTACCTTTTTGAGCTAATCCAAAGAGGTCCTACTCCTGAACCACTTTGCCAAGTAATGCTTCGTGTGGGTGATCTTGATTGCTCTATCAAATTCTATGAAAAGGTATTGTTCTATTGGTTGATCTTCTGTGTGAATTTCACGTGTCTGGTAAATCTTTTTTTCAAGTTGACCTTTCAATTAAAGATGTAATTTATTGTTTGTAAACACATGCATGCTATTTATGTTAGAAAAACTTGCTCTCAGTTGATTTTCCTCTGATTTTTATTTATTTATTGATTTATTTTTTTCCTGTGGATGCTTTTGGGTACTCTCTCAAAAATTTAAAAAAATAAAAATAAAAATTGCAGTTATTAGTGTGCATATCAGCTTCATTAGTAGTTAGATGCTCTCTCTCTCTCTCTCACACATTATTTCGGTGATTTGTATGCATATGAGCTTCATTTGTAGTTAGATGCTACAAATCATCTTTTTCTAGACTAGGGAAATGATAATCCTGCAAATTTAGTTATTCAGATTTTGGTGCGTCCCTATTGGCTAGAGTAAACTAAAAAATGTGATTTATTATCCTGTACACATTGGACACGGGCAGAGATGTACCACTGAATTTTGTGATTAATTGTTATAGAGAAGCATGTGCTTTTGTCTGGAAATTTTTGGAACTTTAATAAACCATGCATGTATGTTAATCAATAAAAAGCCATTTGGTAGTTCCTTGAACCTTTTATTAGCAACTGCTGTCATTATTTCTACCCTGAGGAATTTGTTCTTAGTTGTCAATTGTAACCTGGATCTACCATGGTATGTAGTTAAATTGCTAATCCTTAGCAGTATGGTGCATGCTTATGTTCTAACCTGAATATCATTTATTTTCCTGTATGCACTTGACATGAACAAAGATCCTTGGAAAATTCATATTATCAGTTGAGAAAGTAGTTGCATGTGCTTTTGATAGGAGTTTTTGTCCTCAACTATAACCTGTTGATATATATACACAAATAAAACTATATATGTTAATCAAAAAAAATACCCCATGCAGATACCTACCAAAAGAAAACTTATATGTAGAATTATTGAACTCTCTAGAGCATTTTAATGTTCTTTCTTTTATAATGAGACATTTGTTATAAATTGGTTGTACTTTTGGATGGTTGGGTTGGATTTTTCTAGACTGGTTGAGTGTGTGGTAATGACAAGCATGATTTTTGGAAAGCTACATGTTTATTTGGGTAAATTAAAATGACCTCTCCTGAGGTTTAGCAAAAAATACAGTTAGCGTCACTAGTTTGAGAAAAATACACCAACCTCCCCTCAACAGTGGTAGCCTAAACAAAAGTAATAGAAGTGAGAAAATTATTTTTTAACCCTTCAGTAAAATCTAGCTTTAGTGTAAAATGATAATATAAACCTTCCCCACAACTATGCCACATCTTTTGCAGAAAGCTTGAAAGGATAGTGGGAAAAGGGGGCTTCAGTGTCCACGGGTCTATGAAAACAGAGGGGGGTTCAGTGGTGTGGCCGATTGGGTACCTCTAGTTTTTGGGGTGGTCAATGATGGCCAAATGGGTTGGTAGAAGGAGGAGGGAGGAGGTGGTTCAAATCTTGTGGAGCATGGTTGAGTATTGAATCCACAATACCTCAGGAATCCACCACAAATTGAACACGATCTATCAAACAAACTTTGGAATCCGCCAAAGCACCCACCAAAATATGAATAATGTTATCGAACACTTGGAGTTTGAATGATCTTCAACACAATGTAGTGTAAATTACCCCAAATCATATTTTGGTACACCATTTAGGGTCCTATTTATAATTGAGGTACCTTAGGGTGACTTTGAGAACCAATCCCAATTAAATTCTAACTTCAAACCGCCTTGTAAGAAGTCAAGTCGGTGTTTTCTGCTTGACCCATCAAATTCCTGCTTGAGCTTGCTTTGTCCAGAGATGAAAACAGGCTGTTAGAATCCCTGCTCGAATGCATTAATGCTTGCTTGTGTGTGCTGTCCAGTTCTGCAAATGTTCGGTCAAACAAAACTCTGGCAAGAAGCCAAATCTTTTCAGAATATGGAAATCAATGCAAGAGAACAAGACGAACACTTTTAGTTTGTGATTTTACTTTGCTTGCACATGGTCAATTTATTTCAACCAACATTCTTGAGATCATTCACTTTCACATCATTAACTTTTCTTCTTGCTTTGTGTGATTGTTCCTTAACTCAATTTCTTAACTAGATTTACAAAAATAATTACAACTCAAATAGACAATTACAAATCAAATAGGTTTTGTCCAAGGGATTGAAAAATGTAACTATAATATGATTTTAGCACTAATACATAACTCATGTATCATTTTATGGGTTTTATTTATATCAGGCGTTGGGGATGAAACTACTGAAGAAGACTGACAGACCAGAACAGAAGGTATACATTGTGCTATTCTAGTTTTTCCATTAAGATGTAGATGACATAGTGATTATCACTAAATGTTTCGTTCTGCTTATACTGTACAGTACACCATAGCCATGATGGGATATGCTGATGAATATGAAACAACTGTTCTGGAGCTGACATATAACTATGGTGTGACTGAATATACCAAAGGAAATGCATATGGACAGGTTTGTTTAATACATCTTTAGAAACTTTAGTTACTTTAATTTCAAAAAAAAATAAAAAAAATTCCCCCAGTTTTGTATCTTCTCCTTTTCCTTGTTCTCTTCCTCTTTATGTTATCAATGGACTTGATATTCATTCTAGGTTGCCATAAGTACGGATGATGTATACAAAAGTGCTGAGGTTGTTAACCTGGTTACGCAAGAGCTTGGAGGAAAGATAACTCGACAACCAGGACCAATTCCTGGACTCAACACCAAGATCACCGCCTTTCTAGATCCAGATGGCTGGAAGACAGTAAGTCTTCATTAGTATGAATAATTCCCTAAGTTATGTAATAATCATTAATTTATTTTGTAGTTTTGGTTTCTATATGAACCCTATCAGAGCAATACTTTTTTCCTTAAATGAAGGAAAAATAGTACTGTTTTACTTGATGCACAAACACCCATCATTTATACATGTTATTTGAAGCTCTGTTTATTAGGAGGAAGAAGAAATGCAAAGACGATAATGAAATGAGTTTAGGCATGTCAACATGTATAATATGTTAATATCCTGACTTGTGCAGTAATGGAACATTATATTGATATCTGTTGATGTTACCAGAGATGTCATCTTGATGATATTTCATCCAAATTTGATTTAATTCTCTTTCTTGTTGTCTACCATTATGCTGGTGCTATTTTTTGTTCCATTTGATTTGGATGCTCACCTTTCTTGTCTACATGTTCTTCCCCCTTTGTCGTCTTCTTTGTACTTCATGCAACAAAACTGTAGAAGAATCCCTAAAACCAATACCAATCGAATCCTTTTAGATGTCAAGTGGCACCACTAATATTATGAACTTTTTTATAATTGCCCTATGGAGTATAACACTCCCTAGTTCTCTATATTACAAATTTATTCTTTACCTTCAATCAATAAATGAACAGGTCATTGGCTGATTTGGATGATTAGATAGGTAATTTGCATAATAAGTTGCTACACTATTGTGTGTGTGAACATGCCTTGTGTGTTTCTGTGTAGTGCTACGATTGACTCGCAGAAGCTCATGATAGTTCTTTCCGTGTTTGTAGGTTCTGGTTGACAATGAAGATTTTCTGAAGGAACTGGAGAAGTAATTGTGTAATGGAGAAGTAATTGTGTAATGGAAAAATAAAAAAACCTTACCAGTACCAATGATATGAATTTAAGTTTTTATGCCTTGTTTTGATGCTGTGGTCAACTGGTGAGATTAACTGTGTTGGGTACTTTCTCTTCCCATACTAGTATATTATCAACATGGATATGGTTGAGTTATGGTTGTAATTTAAGAGGCAGGCGTTGGGTCAAAGCTTGTGGCTCCACTAGGAGATGCACTTGCATGGTTACTATTTAATAAAATCTACCTTTGTTTAGTGTTAAGTCTTTTGTGATTGTAGATGTTCTATGGATATGTGGTGTACAGGTTCTGGTGCTATGCAGAGTTCGTTTGTTGAGTTATGGTTGTGATTTATGAGGCTGATCCAGGGTCAAAGCTTGTGGCTCCACTAGGAGATGCATTTGCATGGTTACTATATAATAAAATGTGCCTTTATTCCGTGTGAAGTTTTTTGTGATTGTAGATGTTCTATCGGTATGTGGTGCACAGGTTCTGGTGCTATGCAGAGTTTGTTTGTACTTTGCTTGTGAGTTACTGACAGGATGAGCTGTTTCTGAGGTTCCTTCCCTGATTTGTTAAGTTGGGATCTAATGCACACCCAACGACATGATCTGGTAGAAATTTGATCAAGCTGTTGAGAAATTGGGGACAAGATTGAATTTGAATGATAATAATTATGTTGCATTTGTTGATTATAATAGAATTATGTAAGAAACAAGTTTACAATCTTGGTGCAGGTTTGTCACCAACCAAATAGGGTTTGCTTAAGTATGCTCTTGACATGCTCAAGTTACAAAACCTGTTCATTAAAGGTGGAAAGAATATTGTTGGGGGGTTAAGAATTTAATCGAAAAGATGTGGAAATTCTTGATGTTTGAGAGGCTATTTCACTAGCTGCTGGGAAAATCTCTTCCGTATCTTCCACCACTTGAAGTTGCTAACCGGATCAAATGTATGTACAGAGTAAAAGGTTGAAATGACCAACCAATTAATGCTCTGATGACTGACTAGAAGAATGAAGCTGGTTTTCTATAGAGCTGTATCCATTGGGTAGCAACCAAGGACTCGAAGGAATCTTGCAAATTCCTACACAGAACAATATCGATTACAAATATGCTCCTAGCAAAAAATACGAGTTCTTACATGCTTTATTTTTGTCTCAAACACGTCAGATTCATATGAAAAAAAGGGTAACAATTTGCACATAAAACCTCCAAGTGCAGAAGAAAAATGAGCAAATAAAAGTCTGACAAGATGCCCTTTAAAACATGAGCAAATAATTTAAACTAGGCACACACATCACATTGAGCAATGATTCATATCTCTGAATTTGGAGCTCTAACAAAAATACAAAATTAAAGGAAATGAGTAAAAAAAAAAAAAAAAAAAACTGACATTGTATTTTCTTGCATGTTGTAAACAAGATAGTACTCACCTGCAGATGTCCCAGAGCATATTGAGCACGGGGCTCTGCCATAGAAGCTTCAAAGTCGACGTAAAATAGGTAGTCAAAGTACCTGCCATTGGAAACTAGTCACTTGTACGAATCTCACTGTAGATTTTCTACATATGAATGCTACGGAAGTAATTCGAGAAGCCTAAATAGAGAACTTATATATGAAATTTCCATCCAGAATTACGTGGCACTGGCAAATCTGAATTTAGTGGGCTTTTTTTCAATTTAAAATGATAGGAGCAAGATTAACCAGATCGTCACATATAAAAATTTTGGAAAGTTTCTTTGTGTGGTCAAACTTATCTTCTTCCCAAACAGCACAAGAATGATTGCACAACCCTCCATTTATTTGCCAAAAGAAGTGAGGGAAAGGAAAGAAAATCAAACTATCAATACCATGCCTTTTATTTTGTATATATACATATATTTCCAAGAGAGTTGACTTGTCTCCACAAGATTCATATATGATTTTCTTATCAAAACATCAAATATTTTAAAATGAAACAAAAATGACAAATCTTTTTAGGGAGACCAAAAAACACTAGAGTACTCTGGAATTAGTGTGTTTTTGTGTCTTATATGCCGTAAAGTAATTGATCCATTTTTGCTGCTTATAGCATATAAGGGCTTACCGGGTGTTGTCCTAAAAAACATGTGGTATTCTTTGGTTCTCTTGGGACTTCAGATCGAATTACTGGTTTGTTAAATTCCGAAATGAAAATCAATCATTTAAAAAATGGTCGAGAGAGTAGCCTTTGCTGCTCTCATATCTAGTTCAAAATATAGTAGTGTTTGAGAATGAATATTTTGATAAGGGTTCAGTGATACGATGAGTAGAGTATGTGGATATCAAAACATGAGAGATACACTGGTGAATTGTGAGTTGTTCATGGTCCAATTGAGAATCCAAAGTTCAATTATTTTAAAATATGACTGGTTTTTCATTTTTCCATTTATTTTAAATTAGTAAGTTGTTTATTCAATTCTTTGTGGTCTAAGCATTCCATAAATTGTACTTAAAAGACAAATCTATCACATTGCATCCCATACTTCATACAAAATTTGCAAATCTGTTTCAAAGGAGAATACCACTCACTTGGCACTGCCTTTGTTGGAGTCATCAACAACCCTTAATGGACGCTTTCTCTGTGGTCGGCTCTCAATCTGAACTCGCATTTAAAAGACAAAGCAATGACCAAAACCTTTTTACATGTAAAATAGTAATGGAACAACCTTACAGCTTTAATTTACCTTTGACAAATTAATTTCCCTCAAAGCAAACACTGCCAAGGCTTTGAATAATACACCAGGCCCTTCTTCTAGAGAGAAGACAATGCTTGTCTGTAAATAAAAACCATATAAATTCTGATCAGCTTAAAACAAAACACATTTGTCCTGTCTGTTTAACAAAAATAATCATACCTTATGCGGCTTGATTGTTCCTGGGATTATAGGTTCTCTTGCAAGAATCAAAAAACGGGTAATATTATCACAATCATCCTGCCCATTGAATTGGAAATCAAACAAATCAAATAATAATAGTGATGAGTTCTATTATTTTTCGTAAAAATAATGAGACAATAGAAAGGACATCTTAGACATGAGATGGGACTCAAATAGATGCCTAACTAGGATAGGGTGTCATTACATTTTTCTTTTTGTAACCAATGGTTGTGTACTTTAATAATGAGAATATATTGTGCAAGTACCCAATGGTTTCACTTGGTTTTGTATATTACTTTTTATCACATTCCAAGGCCTGATTTTTGCTATTACCAGATTTACCCTGATGGGTTTCAATACCAGTCCATCAATGAGCTTGTGTTACTTTTGGTGATGCTTGGCATTGACAATTCTCAAATGACAGTCTACATAGTTCTATACAAGTACACATCTAGTTGAGCAAAGTCCACTTGCAACAACTACAAGCAAAATGTACGAGGACCTATTACAGGAAGGTTCCACATCTAGTCAAATACCAAATCTGGCTAGCCTCTTCATGTAATAAGATCTAGAGTACTTAAGTGTTTTTTAATTTCCTTGCCAGGTTCCCATCGCCCTTTTCAAAAATGATTTATATCTTGAAAATAAAAAATAAAAATAAAATAAGAAAATAGAAATGTAACGTTGAGTGTTTCCAAACATTGTTTATTTATTTATTCTTTTTGGGTAAAAGAGTACATAAATGCTCAAAAGTATTTATCTGTCTATCATTTTAAATATGGTCGAAAACAGTTAAAACAACAAAAACTTCATGTCCATTGTCCTTTCCCTTTCATCTGTTTCAAAATCAAAGTATATAGGACAAGCTTTTCATTTCTTCTGTCACTTCCATTTTCAAAACTGGAAAATTCATGAAAGTGTGTAGACTGGAAACCCATAAAATACATGCTTATGCCACCACAACAAAGTTGTAATTATCACTACGTGTAAAAGATAGAGAGAGAATGACACATGAAATGGGAAGTTACCATTAACTAGCATGTAATCCATCAAGCAAAGAACTTCGGTAAAAACTGGGATTCAGCAAGTCACGGTACCAGGATGAGTCAACAATCTTACCTGGATTCTTTCTGCAAGAATGTCAAGGCCATAAATTTCTGCAGCTCGAGCACTTGCAATTGCTCCAGTATCTCTGAGGCCATCAGAGGCTACAATCTATCCCAAACATCACATATTTAGAAGAATGTGCATAATGGTTATTGGCTACAAAAAACGCAACACACATTACCTGAGCAGCACCAGCTGTATCATCAGCATTAACTTTTACAACACCTAACTTGTTTAGTGCCATCTCACATTGAGCTAATGCCTGCAAGCAACAATAGAATTATGTTTTGCTTTTTATGATAGGATGAGGAACTGAATGTTCATAATGGGATCAAAGAGAAACGATGGAATCTGCAAAATGACCATAGCCTAAATGGTTTGTGCATCGAGACATTTCAAAGGTCAGATAACTAAACTGATCTATCAATTAAAAAACACATTTACGAACATTGGGTACAAATACGACGTGATATGGACACACGAATACTATAATTTTCAAACACCAAGATACAGACATGAACACAACGACACCCTATATAAAAGAAAATAATAATTTCTTAGCACTATGTTATAAATATTTTAATAACTTATTATAGAAAATAGTAAGAAAATTATTAATTTTTTACAATTCATTTATTGGAAAATTGCTGTACAAATGGTTCTAAATTCTAATATCTATTTTTAAAGTTCCATTGCAAAACAAATTAAAAGTTCTAGGTTATAGGAAAGCCTAATGGAGGGATTAATAAGTATCTCACATTGTTTTGATTTTAATCATTAGCCCCGACGTTAGTTTATACAAACTTACAACAAGAAGCATGTGTGTTTTGTGTGTGTATTTAAGGTAGATAGAAGTGTCCCCTGCACTGAGTATGCAAAGCTTGTTTTGGTTCTAAAAATAAGAAAAAATAATAGGACATATTTGGAAGTGTCCAACATGTTCACCATACAGACATGACAACTTCGTAGAAGTGTCTATGCTTCTTAATCCATCAAAATATTTTCAATCAACTACTAATTTCTTCCTCTTTTCTGCCAATCCTTTACTGCTATATAAAGCTTGTAATCATGTACAGCTTCTATTAATGTCCCATATACACTACTTTCCTTTTCTTACAATATGATGCTAGAGAAATTAGTTAAGTTAAGCAGCATGATTGGGATTTATAGTAACAAATTGAATGGCTAACATTGCGGCAAGATATTGATGAGCATCCACTTCCATATGGAACAAATCACATGGAAAATAACAATAAAACCAACTCATAAATATCTATGTGCATATGTAAGAGAAAAAATGGTAAAACCTGAGGGTGGCTCAAAACACACTTTAGCTCCTCCTTTCTAACTCCACTCAACCCCAAAAGGCAGTGATTAACAACCAATTGCACCTCCCCTACTATGTGGAGTCTATGACAAAGAAGTAAGTCATAATTACGGTGGATGCTTCCAGCTACAGAATTCTCTATGGGTAGTATAGCTTTGTCCACCAACCACAATTCAACCGCCTGCAAAATTAGAATTATTACTATAAAGGTAAGAAAAAAGAGTAAACTAGTTAAAAAATTCAAATCACTTAACAATCAATTGAACCTTGAATGCAGCCTCAAACTGGTCGCAAGGGACAGTCTCACACTTCGGGTATGCTTTAAGCGCAGCAGCCTCACTATATGCACCTGGTATGCCCTACATGCAGTAACCAAACCAATAGAAAAACAATTAGAAAGCTGGAAACATTTGGTAGAAGCATAAAGTATAAATTCCATACCTGATAAGCAATCCGCACCTTCGAACCATCACCAGGAGACGGAGAAAGATCAGCGGCAGATAAGGGTCCTGAATTTTATGAATATATGTTAAAACTCTGAAATTATACACAAACATAAAGGCAGGATATAGGATAGTAAAAATAGTGACTAAAACAAATAGGGGATGCATTTTGCAGTGATCATGTTTAAAACTTTATCCCAATATTAGTCACAATATTATGAAAGATGCATGGTAACGAGGTCAGGAGATGATGATACAGTATAACATAAATAAATAAAAACAAAAAAAAACAGAGTAGATGAGTAACTTCAACTCATATAGATGGCGATTGATTATAATATCTTATCTATGAAGCATGGATACGGATATGGGTATATGGCACAACCTTAAGAAATAGGATACAGGTGCAACCAAGATATGTTGAATTTTTATTTTATAATTTTTAGTATTATATTATACATGACCTCAAATCTTATATTAGAAAAATGATTCGTTCACTGAATTTGAGTTTGCCCGAATCACCCTAATTTGTGCGTGCCGGTCAACCGCCCAAACAACCCGTGCAATCTTTGTCAACCGCGGTAGTCACCCTTGTTGCCGGATGATCGGCTGGACGATCGACAGGTCGACCACCCGAACGACCGGCATGCACAAATTCGAATGATTCGGACAAGCCAAAATTCAGTGGATGTAACATTGCTCATCTGATATTATATATAAATTTGATAGATTTAAGAGCTAATAGTCTGATTACTTTCTTTTTCGTGGATACGTTAATTTGATAACATCCGATGAAGTAGAGTACTCCTTTAATCTCACTATTTTCTTCTTCAGTAAGAAATGAAAAATTATTAAAATACTATTTTTTGTATTTTTTCTAATAATTATACTCTAATATTATACAAAAATTATTAAATGTCAATTTCATAATATTTTAGAATACATGAGTGTTCAAAAAGTATTCAATACTTCTCAAAATTAACCTCAAGTATCAGATACGTTTATGAAGTATTTGATACGTCTCCGTGACTATCCGATACTAGTACGATATGGATATAACTCCTTTTTAGAAGTATCCGCGCTTCATAGTATCTTGTAGTGACAAACTTCATATTTAAATTTTGAAAGCATCTCACAACAACTCATTGCTCTTGACAACATAACATTATCAATTTATAATGCAGATATATCACCTAATTTGTATAAATGCAGAAAATGACAAATTTATACTTTCTAAATCTAGAATGTCCCATATGCATGTCATGATTGCTGGATGCATTAATAAAGTAGATTTTTTATTATTTTTTTCCCAAAACCCTAAAGCAACACTCACAGCCACCTTATGGAATATTAATGGAAAACCCAACTGGAATCTTAAAGGATAACTTGATCATTACTCATTATATCACATAGAATGAACCAATGTAGTACAAGCTAGTAAATGCATTAAATATCCATTGTCTATATTGCCCAGTATATCTGATAATGATTTGGGATTTTTCAGGCTCAATTTGTCACTCATCAGTAAAAAAATCCTCTCTTTTTGATCACCTAAATGGCAATTACAAAAATCAACCTTGTAATTCACAAATTACAACCACAAACAACATATACGAAAATGGGAATACTGTTTCAAGAACACTGATTATATTAACTCACTTGGAAGAGAGTTCAAATCTTTATGAAACCCCCTAGATTCAGTGACCTGAGTCTGCTCATTCCCACCAGGTGAACTCAATCCAGGTGCCAGTGGCTTCTTCTCATCTTCAACAAGCCGTGTTGCCCTCTGAGCCGAAGCCAGACACCACTCCCATTTCCGAAACTTGTCGCAATCGAACCTCAAATTCGAACCAGACCCAGAACGCCTAGACCCCAAATCTGTAAACCTCAGATGAGTACAAGAGTGATTGGCACAAACCCAGATTGGTACAGCCTTCAAAGCCATGGTTTTGGACCAATCTGAAGAGTACCCAATGTAGAGAGAGACAGAGACAGAGCTAGACAAAGCCGGACTCCGGAGAGTTAGACTTAGAGCTATGATTTTTGTAGGTAAGGTTTGGAGACACAGAGCACGACATTGTCAAGAAGAGAGGTCGAGTATGGTAATGGAGCGAGAGTGCTTGAGTGGAACCCACAAAATTGTATGAGGTGGGGGTTGAAATTTTAGGAAAGAGAAAGATTGGAACAAAGACTGGTGAGAGAGAGAGAGAGAGAGAGAGAGAGAGAGAGAGGGTTGGTGAGCAGACTGTTGGCAACACGTTACCAACAGTTTGTAGAAGGAGAGACGAAGACGAAGGGTAGAGAGAGTTAAGCTGAGAGATGAATTTCGTGTATATACATATATAAATTTATGTAGTACTGTCGAGTGTTAATTATGGTAGGCTATCTGTATCCGAATTTAGTAGTGGACAGATATGAGATGATATTTGTGGGCCCTCTTTTAAAATAATTTAGGAAAATTATGACCAAAACAAATAAAAAAACTATATATGTATATTTTTAACAAAGAATAGAAAGGATGCTCCTCATAATATTCATGGGTACTAGTTATGTTTGGATTGAATGATTTGGAGAGAAAAAGAAAGAAAACAGATAAATATATATATTTTTTATTTGTTTAGATAATTTAAATGGAAAGAAATATGGATAAATGAAGATAAACGGAGAAAAATTCATTTCTCTTATAAATTTTATTTTTAATTTTCTCAAAAATGGAGAGATTGGAAGAGAAAATAAACAAATATTTTTATAATACCAATATTGATGGGCCTTAATCTCGGAATAATCGGTTACAAGTCAAATTTAATCCAATTCAAACAATGGACCTCACCCATAAAAGGTAGAGTCTTAGGCCTGGTTTGGCATGTCTTGAAATAGATTAAAAGTCAAAAATTATTTAAAAAGCTAAAAAGTTATCACTATTCACAAAAAAAATAAATTTACAAAAAAAAAAAATACAACTCAACTTTTTCCTGAAGTGATGGGCTGTCCGCGTGATTGGTTTGCTGTATTGGTCTAGAAATGATTGCCTCCTTCACGGACAACCATTTAGACTGTGTTGTTCGGCCCGTTGAGGCTACCACGGGTCACATTTTGATAATCTGAACCGTTGAGTACTATATGCCTGTAAAAAATCACGTTGATCGGATATCGCTGACTATATAATCAAATCAGTTTTGTATAAAAAAAAAGGATGGTGTTATAGTTAACTGGTGAACAAAAACTAATTCAATCAATGTGATTTCGATATTCAATCAATGTGATTTTTTACAAACATATAGTACTCAACGAGTTCTACATATTGAACGGTTTAGATTATCAAAATGAGATTCGTGGTGGGCCCCACGGGCCGAACAACACAGTCCAAATGCTTGCCCCGCGAAGGAGGCAACCATGTCCTTATCTCCTACACTCTGCCCAGAAAAAGGTGTCGTACAACTTATTATACTTACTTCTCATATACACTTATTTATACAATTTTTTATTACACATTTTTTTGTAAAAAGACAAAAAGTTAACCCAAACATCCATCTTTTTTTTCTCAATTTTTTAGTCCAAAAAAATAAAAATACACTTATTTAGGACATCCCAAACAACCATTTAATTAGAGTAAGACACAATAAGTCAAAGTTATTTACGTCCCCCAAGATTTGAGCCCTACTCTTCCGTGTGGAAGGCATATGCATTATCCACTTGGCCACCACCTCTCTGGTAAAACAATTCTGCCTTCGTTTGGGAAGTCCAAACTTGGGTTTTTTTGACTATTTTAGTCACAAAAAATGAAATAAGCTTTTAGTTTAATAAGACAAAACATCATATCCAATTTATAATCATTACATTCTTTTTCTAACAAAAAAGTCAAAAAAACCAAAATCCCTTCCTAAACCAGGCTTTTTAGTCTCAGGCTAAAATAGCTAAAAAAGTCAAAAAGTCAACAAGCCAATACACTTCCCAAACGAAGGCTCTAGAGTTTAAGCCTTGCAATAAAATAAGATAAATCACAAATATACTTTATGTGATTTATTTAAAATACAAAGTGTTCTGAAAATTATATCATGTTTCTTAAGGTTTTGAATTTCATAACAATTAACTCATTTTATTAATAAATCATAAAATCAATTAATAGTTTTTAATAATATCAAAATTTTATTGTAATTAATAATTCAGGTAATTTTATTATTGTATATAAGGACAGTTAAATTTTTTGATAAAGGGTATTTATAATTTTTCAAACCACAAGGGACAATTCGTATATTAAGAAAATCTCGAGTGGTGTATTTGTAATTTACCCAATAAAATAAAATAAAAAAATCTCAAGGTTTGATCTTTGTAATTACATCTTGAATTTTTAAATTTTTTTTAATTTAAAACTTAATCTTTTAATTTGTTTTCAATGTAAATTATTAGTCTATTTTTATTAAGTAAAATTGAAAAAGAAAAATGATATTTTAGTCATTAAAATTAACAAAAAAGGGTATTATAGATATTTTATGTACACATATATTGACTAAAATACTATTTTTCAATCATTTTTAGTTAACGAAAATAAGCGAATAGTTTATATTGAAAACAAATCAAAATATTAGGATTTAAATTGAACAAATTCAAAATTCATGGTCTATTTTGTTTAAAGGGTCAAATTTTAAAAAGTGGGTTGTTTTATAAAATATTTCCAAAAAATACTATTTGAAAATAATTTCTAAATAAGTTTTCTGTGTTTTTTGAAACAGAAACACATACATTAGACTAAGCAAGTAGCAGGAGAAACACCAAAATCCAATGGCGTTTGTTCGAACCAACCTTCATTCTTTCTGTTCATGTTTTGTAACCTTTTTCTTCTTTTTTTTTTTTTTTGAGGTTTCAACTATTTGAATTACTATTGTTGGCTCCGTTTCAATCACAAAAGATGATGATTGTACAAGGAGATTCCTTTTGACATGTTGTTGGAGGATGGATCCCAGGAGTGCGGTCACACACTTAAAAAGTCGTAAATATTATGAATATTATATGTTGTTTGGGAAGTTTGGGATTTTGGTTTTTTTTTTTTTTTTTTTCATAAAAAGACAAATTTTTTGTAAAATAAAAAAAAAAAACATTCAAACAAAATATCACATCCAACCACATAATCATTTTACTTTTTCTCTTACAAACTTCACATTCAACCACAAAAAAACCTAACTATCTTCCCAAACACAAAAAAAATTTCTCTAATAATATCATACAACTAAAAAAACCTAAATAAAAACTCACTTCCCAAACAACCACTATATTAGTTAGGAGTGTGGTTGAACACTTAGGTGCCTTTTGGCGGTGTGTTTGGTAACGTTTACGTTTTCAATTTATATTTACAAAAATTTTATAAACTGGTTTTTGTTTATTTTTAGAAAAACATAAACTATAAACGCGTTTGGTAGTTGACAAAATGTTTAAAAAAATTTAAAAATATAAAAAAGAGTGAGAAATGACAAACGGCAGCGGAAAATAGTGGTGGAAAGTGGTGACGGTGGGTGGTGGATAGCTAGTGGTGGTAGGTGGTGGTGGATGGGTGACGGTGGCGGGTGGTGGGTGGTAGCGAGTGGGTGGTGGCGGTGGTGGCGGGTGGTGGCAAGTGGGTAGTGAGTGGTGGTGGGGGGTGGGTGGTGGCTGGTGGTGGCGGAAGACGGTGGTGGAAAATGGTGGCGGGGGGGGGCTAATGTTGGGTGGTAAAAAAAAAAAACTCAAAACTCAAAATGGAAACACATTTTTTGTGTTTTCATTTTTTGGCCAAATTTATAAACCAAGACCACTAATTTACAAATTAAAAATTTTACCAAACAAGTTTTTATTTGAATTTTTAAAATTTTTGTAAATATAAACAGAAAACTGAAAACGTAAGTGTTACCAAACGACACGTTAAAATTTCTGTTCTCCTCCCAAATAATACCAAAATTTTCCTCAAACATTTCACCCATTGAATGCACACTCCAAAAAAAACCTCCATTCCAAAAAACCCTAACAAACCCACTAAGAAGAAAAAGAGTCTTATCATTTTCAAAATCCACGAAGAAGAACAAGAAGAATATTGTCTCTGCCAATTTAACCAACTTCCCATCTGATATTTTTCATTGCTCTCAGATCCAAGCTTTTAATTTGAGCCACAATAATCTTTCAGATGGATGTTCCAATACAAAACTTGTCTATGGTTGTCACCAACCTTACTTATCTTAACTTATCATACAATCACTTCTCAAAAGTTAAAATATTCGATTCCCAGTTCTTAAAACGGTTCAATTATTTGAGTTTTCTTCATTCTGGATTCATCCCAGATCACAAAAAGTTCAAAATCAATGTTCGATTACTAATTCCAGAATAAATAAACAATGTTCGGGCACGTGTTCCCGAATTTCGATCATATATTCGGGAGTTCAGTCTCGAAAAAATGACGAACATATTTTATTATTTTTGCCATTTTTTTTTCCATGAAAACTTACCCTTATAAAGCCAATATTCTCTAAGCTAAAAACAAGATCAAAGGTATGAACCTCCTCTAAACTTTTATTGTTGTATTCCTCTCGTCTTATGGAGTTGTGGTTGCTAGAAACATTTCCACTCGTTGTCATAGTCAGAAAAATGTAGGTAGTCAAATGGTTGCCACCGTTACTGTCGGAATATTACCGCCAAAGGGATTTTAAGGTTTTAAGGGTGGGTAAGCTTTGAAGATGGGATTTGAAAAAGATGGATGGGTGGTGATGGAGGTGGGTGCTCTCATAAATCTTAATTCATGATGTAGTGAGTGGGTAGGTTTAATTGTGAGATGGGGTGTTTCAAAATTAATGATATCCTTTGTAGTAATTTTATTTGAGGTTATTATTGTAATAAAAAAAGTTAAAAGTTGAGGGGTCCAAAATAATTTATGGGATGCTAATAGTAGCACTCTACAAAAATACATAAATAAAAAATCAGATTGAGATCTCGTTTGTGAACTATATATTTTAGTTAAAAAATCAAAAAATTATTATAAATTGTTACATTACACTCTCTCTATTTTTTTGTATATATTTTCATAAAAAACTAAAAATTATTAAAATAACTTATTCTCAAATGATGCTTGAATCGATATTAAAACTTACATGATTCTATTCTCTTTATAAAAAAATAATAAAAAATTGTTGCATAAAAATAATTTAAAAAATTATTTTTTAAAAAAAATAT